ACCCTTGCTGGTCTTCCAGCACCATTGTGAAGGCCCTGAGCAGGGTCTGGTCTTCAGCTGTACCAGCTGACTGGTGTATGCTCACTGGAGGCTGTGACCTCAGGTGACGAGGCAGCGGTGAAATCAGTGCAAATGGGACACAACCCGATAGGGTTACACCCCACGATGGGCACTTGGGAAGGTCTCAACTTACCAGATTAATTATTCAGAATGGGCCTTTTCGTGGGTGGGGGTTGCTGTTTGCAATGCATATGTTCCTGAGTCATGCAGAGATTTAGACCTAGACACGTTAAGATTGTGATTTTTCTCCATGCATTGGAGTTCATTCCCCAAAGCTTCTCCTGTAGGGATGTCACTATGTCATAGTGAAGTACTTTGGCGCAACAGCGTTGGGATCCTTAGAAAGAAGAATCAGAACTGATCTGAATGCTTCCAGCATGTCCAAGTCGCAATATGCTGACTAAATAGTTTCAGGAAAGTGCAGGACTGTCACAGAAAAGAGTGGCCCTTCTTACACTTGGGGCGGCATGAGCCCCTCCCTCCCGGCGACGGGCATGCTGAGCTTGGCATCTGGCCCCTACCCTGGCCAGGGTGCTGCTTCAGTGCCTGTCGCCATTTCGTTTCTTTGCCTGCTCTTCTGTGTTGCCGGTCTTCCGTCCGTCACCGTGTCCGGTCTGTCCTCTTTTCTGTCTGTCTGCTTCACTGCCTCCCTCCACAGGAGTTTAAAGAGTGAGGCGGCCTGTTGATGTATTGTCATGAAAATGGCTCTCGCTAAAGTGCCTCTTTGTTTGCGGTTCTCAAATGTGGCAGCGTAACCTCGAGCGCTCAGTGCCATCTACATAGTGAGTGCTGGATGAGGTGGTCTTGCGTACACTGGCTGTGGCACTTACAGACCACACACACACACACACACACACACATATACAAACACTCTCAGACAAAGGCTGCAGTTGTCCTACTGTGCCCACTTAGAGAGTATGGGGAGTGTGTGAGTTTGTGTACGTGTGGGTGTGCAGATTGGAGGGGGAGGCACAGAGCAGGACAGCCTGAAGAGGGCGCTCTGTTGGAGCTGCCGTTGGACTTGGCGGTCAGTGAGGACAGAGAGTGAGTCCATGTTTAGCAGGAATATTCAGTAAGTGTATTAGAGAATCTGCAGTGTAGGCCCAGGGGTGTAAGGCGAAACTGACCTGAACGGGAAATCCAATCTGTTTATGATCCGAATCCCCAATGCAGCTCCAATCTAGGAGGATGAGTCGATATTCACATCGTGTCAGGATCACTGCATATTCCTTTAAAACAGATTAAGATTAACTTCAGTTACCGAGATTCTTAGATGGGTTTTGCAGTGCAAAATAAACAAGGTGACCTCCTTTAGAAATGGCATTTTGATTGTGTTTTTACCTCGAAGGTAAGGCACTTTCGTACATCTAAACTGATTTACATCATATCCAGTCAGAGCTGGATCCAGCCGCATTGTATTTGAATTGAATCATATTCTTTACTAACTAATTTCTCACTTGCAGTAAGTTTATTGTATACTTCCTGTGTGGCGCCACAGACTAGGTGCCTGGAGGTATTTCACCAGTTCGCATGTGGAGCAAACTGGTCGCCCTGGTCGAGGATGGGGGGCAGTTTCCACCCATCCTGTATATGATGGGATTGTCTTATATTTAACAACCCTATACCTTAGTGTGACACAAGTCCATCATCCCAGTGCTGAGAAATATCCCCCCAAGGAAGAAGTCTCACTGCGATGTTAAACTGGGGGTGAGGGTCACTGTGCAGCCAGCCTAGAGATGCAGTGACGCAGGGATGCCAGCTCTGGCGCGGGTCACATGACCCAATGGCAAACAGCCTTTATAGGTCAAATGCGTCAGTGACACTTTCTGCGGATGTATCTTTTTTTTCACAAGTCACAGACTTTTTTTTTTCTGAAGATGGCATGTTGTGTCGAAACACCTGCCAGCTTATGACTTTATTTTGGACTTCGGGTCTAAACTAGAAGTTTAGGAGTGTATTTTAATTTTGCTAATAAGGTTACTTAATCATACTGAAAAAAATAAGCAAAAATTACTTTAAAATCAAGTGGTGCTGTTACTTAACCAGTGCATCACAACCAAAAAGCCCGTCGCAGGACCAGTTTCATTGGTTCTCAGAATGTGTGGTTAGAAAGAATTATTTTGATTTTTTTTCTAATGTCATACGTCTTTTTTGTTTTCACAGTACTTTTAGGTATTGGCCTATTGTTACTGCACTGTATTCCAGTTACTATGATGTGCGACTGTGCGATTCTTAAATTTTTTTGTGAAATAAATTTGGTTTAAAATTTTTATGACGTCCGTAAGTCGTAACTTAATATGGTTGCTGAGGCTACAGCAGCTGTCATTGGCTGGCTTGTATGACGTGAGAATGATCAGGTTCTTTACCG